GGACGCTTAACCGACTGCGCCACCCAGGCGCCCCAATATACATTCTTTAAACTATTTCTGTGTTATTTTTTTGGGGGGGTGGTTGACAATCTCTAAAGCTTCAATACATACTGTAAAGAAATGTTACCCATGCTAAGTGGTAATAATAATAAAATATCCCACAATTTCCAAAAATAAATTCTAAGCTCTTTTTAATATTAGTGATTTTACTTTGCATAACTAGCCTAGTATATAGCAAGGACTCAATAAATATTGATCGAATGTCTTTGTAATCATCAGTAGAACATTGTAGGTGTTGAGGGTTCTCCTACAGAATCTTGCTGATTTGCCCTCCCCAGAGATAATATTGACTCCCGGCAGAGAGCTGCAATAATGATAAGTAAGTGCCTTACCTATATGCCAACCAATGCCTTAGCTATCATGTTGTGGGCTCTACCTGAGTATAGGTAATCTAAATATCCAGTACTGAGCAATACAGGTCAGCATTTAAAGCTAATGAACTAGACTCATGCAAAGGCCAAAGGGGGATAAATAACTCAACCAGTCCTTGTGGGTTGCCTCTGAATGTGTGAGATAAAACTTGAATTACTAGGGATAGCATTTCATTCCCTTGGAGTCTAGAGTGTTCTGTCTCAGTAGAAGGACCGTGGAGAATTTACTAGTACATAAACCTTCTTTCCTTTTGTCTTCCTTTTGTTATCTGATTCATCCATTCATTTAACAAATACTTATTGCTAGGCGCTAAATATTGTGGATTCAGTGGTGATCCAGATAAACCTTATTGCTTTTTTTATAGTGGGGAGACAGACAAAAGATTTTTCCTCATATCAATTTCCTCACTAATCCCCAAAAGTGATAGTTTATAGAAGAGAATTTTCACTAACATTATAGACTCCCGTTTGGACCAGAAGTAGAACTTTCACAATGAAGAGTATGTTAATCAATGACAAGTTCTGGTTACCATTTTACCTTTTCATTCATAGGAAGGTAGATTAGAAACTCTCTTTGTTTCATAATATACAACGAGCTCTTTCTTTTTCCATTTACATCTTTTCATTTTGAAATATGTGATATCTAGAAAAGTTACATAGTACATATGTAAGTTTTAAAACATAATAACAAAAATGCCCAATCTAAGAAGTGGAGCATTGGCAAAATTGAAAGTTCTTTTCTTGTGGTCCCCATTCATTTCCCGGCCTCCTACATGTGTCTCCATGGAGTGGCCTGTATTTTGAAGTTTAGAAATCATTCCTTGGTAGTCTTTATTACTTTGTCTCTAGCTTGATTTAATTAACCTATTTTTCAACTTTAAAAAGTGTTATTTTTGCAACTCAACTTTTTATTCAATCTTTTTTTCTATTTCATCCATCTGGTTAAGTTCAGTCATTTCTCCTGTTTTAGAGTTTGGTTATCTGACTCTACTACAGTGTATTTATCTGTTCTCCAATTGGGGCATGTTCTAGTGTTCTGCAGTTACAAATGATTCTGATACAAACATTCTTAGCCACGTGTCCTGGCCACGTGCCTCCCTGTGAACATGCCCAAGGATCAACTAGAGCTATTATTTTAAAAAATTGGATCCAATTATGTATTTTTGGAGTAGCATCATTTTTTCTTTAGGGGTGTCAAATTTTAGATGGTAGGAAATATGTTTTTATCTTACAGTAATTATGTCAACGGTCCTGAGTAAAAATGGGTAAAGTAGAGGAGAAATTTCTCCAAAGGAACAATTTAATCATTTGATTGGCTAATCATACTGAGTGGAATTTCTGATGTTTTTTCTCAAGTAATAACTTTCAGTAATCCATTTCATTCCTGATATTATTACTATATGTAAAAATGTTCCTATTACGTGCCCCTGGCTACCATTAATTTTAAAAGTTGGTACAGTATGATTAATAATCAAGATGATTTCCATGCTAATTCCTACATTCCCCCTGGATTCAGCCTTTACTTAATTACACAGATTTAGATGAAAATCATATCCTCCTCTGAAAGCAGAGCTCCTCACCCATGCTAATAAAAGACATACTGAGATGTGGCAAGAAACACATTTCTGGGTATAATTCACTCTGAAAACCAACAACAAATATAAAGTGTTTTTTTCCTTCCAAACAGACAAAATAAGATTTTTTTTCCCTTTGTAGTATCTTACTGTCTTTACTTATTTGCCTGTGATAAATATCTGTGATTACACATGGTTATATAGTTTCAATGTATTTGAAATTCAGTTGTTTATGTGTGATATATTTTGGAGGTTTACTTTGGAAAAATTAAAGTGCATTATATATTTTTTAGATGCAGGTAAAGGTTTTTTGAACTACATAGAAGTGCATATTTAATTCAGGAAGATAATTAAAGGTTTCTTTTTAATTTTGAAGTGTATCCTTGCTGAAGAATTTACCTGAAGATAAATTAACCAAGATCATTGACTGCTTGGAAGTGGTAAGAAATTTTAAAGGAAAAAATACATTTTATTAAACGACTTTATTTAAAAATTTTTTTTTCTTAATGTTTTTATTTTTGACAGAGAGAGACAGAGTGTGAGTGGGGGAGGGGCAGAGAGAGAGGGAGACACAGAATCTGAAGCAGGCTCCAGGCTTTGAGCTGTCAGCACAGAGGCCAACGCAGGGCTTGAACCCACAAACTGTGAGATCATGACCTGAGCTAAAGTCAGATGCTCAACTGACTGAGCCACCCTGGCACCCCTTATTTAAAGACTTTATAATTTAGTTGTTATTAGCACTGTAAATGAAAAAAAGGAAAGGATGGTAGGTGGCCTGTCTGCAGAGACCAGGAGCCTTTTTCTATTGTGTAAAACCTTAGGCCAACTCACAGGGAATTAAGGGGCTGGGATGGGTTTAGGCCACTCTTCTGAAATGTATAAAAGGAAATTGGATTTGCATGTGTAAAATGACACTTGATTTACATACTCTAACCTTTTTAGTATATTTTGTGAAACTAATCTGCCTTACTCAAGAGGCATTTGATTTTCTGCAGTTAACATCACAATCCCCTGTAGAGTTTTCCTAGTATAAAGGAGTCAATGATGTTTCATTAGGTAATGGTGTAGAGGAGGATATATTGGAGCTTTAGGGGACAGCTTTCTGAATCAGGCTATGAAACAAGTCCATACTTGAAAACTCTACACCATGAAAAGACATTTTAAAACCCTCTGCATTTAAGAAGCACTTTACCTATTTTAACATCTAGGGGAAAACAGCATAATGGAATGTGTTCAAAAACTCATATGAGGCATCACCCAGATGGTTGGTTCTAGTCCAAGACTAGCCAAGTTTTTTTGTGAATAAATCTTTTATAACATGTACCTTGGATTCTAATGATATGCATTATATGAAAACCTCTTCAGATTTCAGAGATTAAAATTCAAAGCAAGAAATTTCTCTCTGATTTTTGGTG